TTTAGGAAGTGCTCAGCCAGCACTTTCAAATTTCTCAGGGTCCCATAACTGTTTACACCAAGAAAATATAACAACATTTTTTTTGGAAATTTCTGCTATATAAACCACTATCAACTTGTGTTTTCCTCATTATAAACTTTTAAGGCCCAAAGTACCGTATCTTCTTTACCTTCATCCACATCCCCAAGGGTCACTGGTGCCAGGAGAGAAAATTTATTCTTTAGTCTAGAGAGCCAGACATCAAGAACCAACACACTAAACCAAGGAGTATCTGGGCTCAGCTAGCCCTCCCGATTAGGTGAAGAGCCTCACTTAGGCTGGTAGCCCACCGTGGGGCTAGAGGAATCCAAAGATTTGTTACCTTAATAAAACTGCCCAGCAATTACCTAAAAGTCAATCTTAAAAGAAAGAAGAAATGTGGTCTGTGTGAGAAGCACCTATTAGAGGAAAGAAGTCAAGGGTTATTTCCTACCAATCTGTTTCTGGGATATGAGCCATCCTGGCTACCGATGTCAATCCATTTATTCACGGCTGGTTGCTTTGAACTTAGCGTGGGTAGCTGATCATATCAGATCAGCTCTGAGTCCCTGATAATATCTCTTATTTGCCTCAGGCTAGTACTGTCTTTTTCTTCAGTTTCCACCTGGCCTCACAAAGGTCAATAAGCAGTGACCCACATCAGAGGTCCCGAGTCCAGACAAGCCTGAGAAACCTTGAAAAACGTGGGTACTTTAGCAAGGTTTGCAAGCTGACTACTTAACCTGCTGTAGCGTCTCGGATACTGGAAAATGACATGCAATTTCTGGGTCAGAGACAAAGAACTTGTTACTCACGACACACCCAGCATCCTGAGCTGGGTCATTTCCACTGTGCTCTGGAATCCTACAGGGGTTACATGGAGCAGCTTCCTTTGATGCTGCCCATACAATGGCTTTGAGTTGAGAAGTCCTAAGTTTAGAGCAGCTTAGATGTTTATTAGAAAAGACTGGGTTGAAAAAAAAAAAAAAAGAAAGAAATCTAGAGAGAAACACTGCTTTTATTGCACAGACAATAGACCTGTTCCAGAGTTTCATAGCCAGAGGGAAACATTGTCTTCTGTTTAGTATCAAAATTGTTGAAAAAAAAATGGTTCAGGAAAAAGGGTCTCCAGTGCCTTTGCTATAGGATGTGCAGAAACCCATGGAAATAGTCTCCCAACAGTGAGTTTAAAAAGTGGTTACATGAACAAATGGCAGATATCTCAGAACAACTAAGTAACAAGTACTTGGCATAAATAATCCATCTATTCCCTACTCTTCTAAAGAACTCCACAAAGTTGAGATATCATATCTGTTTGTACTAGAAATGATTCTCATTTTATTTATTAATGTAAATGCTGGCCGTTCTTTCAATAATTATCATTTATTTGGATAAATTCTGCAAAACTTGTGAGACTTTTGAATGCATCGAGCACTATCCACTTCATGGAACAGTCTTTAAATATTATCCTTTATGTAAATTAGTGGCACATTGCTCTCCTTTGCACATGAACTGTTCAATTTTAAATTTGTTTCAATTAGCATGTTCTTTGTATACTTTTATATTTGTTTATCTCATGTTCATCCCATACCCTCTCTTACTGCACATATTTCTTTACCCTGCAAATATTTATCTCAGGAACTAAAATGTAAATGACATAAGGTTTTAAGTTTTTTTTTTATTCAAAAGAAAGAAATACAGAATATTAGTATAGGCAAGGGGAGCAGTAAAGAAACCAGTGAAATGGCTGCTTCATGGTCAAAGGCGAGGTTTTTATTGCAGATAAAAGAGAAAATACCCAGTGGCTTCTGGGAGAGTTCAGAGACGAGAGAAAAAGCAGCAGACTGGACATCTGCAAGAGAAGCAAGAAAGGCAGGACAGAGCGGAAACCTTGCCATTGTGAAGGGGCACAAAGGGGGACCTGGAACAGCCTGAGGGCTAGCATTGTGCAGGAGGAGTTAGGGAGTGGAGAAGGACCAGGGGCTAGCTAGTCCTGAGGAACGCCGGTTTCTATATATATTAAGATTATCCTGTATAGACTAAATCCTTGACTTTTGTTGTGTCTTCTTTTTATAAGTGTTTTAGACCTTCTTTTTATATTATTTTGATTTTTTTGAGATGAGATCTCACTTGTTTTGTAGACCAAACTCAGTAACCCTCTGTTTTCCAAGCACTGACATTAATTATACTACTACATTGAGCTTAAGTCATGTCGAGAATAAGATTTTTTTTCTAAGGAAATTATTTGGGGCAGAGACAGTGTTAACAAAAACCAAGTTATTCTAAGACAACACTTTGTAAACTATAATATGGGGACACAAGACGCAAATATCTCTTAGGGTGTTAGGAGTCTACTACCCCAAAATGCTTTAAACAAGTGAATTAGATAAACTATGGCAAACATATTTTAGAGCTTCTAGAGGAGCACCTCAGTAGTTGAGTACTAGGCTAGCATTTACAAGGCCCTGGATCCAGTTTCCAGACACACACACACACACACACACACACACACACACACACACAGATTTTCAGAGCCTCTAATTGGGCTAATTTATTTGATGAATGTCCCAGTAAGGTGATTAAAGACATGATATAAAGCATTTTCCAAACTAGTTCCATGATGCAGAATTTTTGAAATCATACGATTTAAATAAAGGGACACTAGAGTTCCAGGACAGATATAGTGCAGGAACAACAAAATTAGATTTATGAAGAATGTTGAACTATATGCTATTTGGAGCTTATAATATAGGTGCTGGGTAACCAGTATTTTTATACTTTACATTTGTAGGTAGTTATTTTTAGTCAGGAATTTATTTTAAAATTCTAGAAACTTTCCGTTTTGTAATAGGGCATTTCAGAGAATGGGAGGTCTACAGGTGAGAATCACCTTTGTAAATATAGTTTCAAAACTTAATAACTTTTACTCTTAAGTAAAGTTGACACAATCCTTTTGTGTCAAAGGGTTTCTATGCAGTAGTAGTTTTACACTTTCTTCTGTTCTGTGCTTCTTGTTCTTTCCTCTTCTCTGAGTCCCAGGGCTAAGACTTAATCCAGCCATGAGGAGACATTGTGTCTATGCATGGATCATCCTTGTCTGAATAAACTAACTCCTCAAGATTTTATTATCAAAGCTGATTTCCAAAGTTGCATTATTTCAACTCTACTTTGGAAACTCCAAGCAAGTTTTCTTTGTTCTATAAGAATATCTAATAATAAATTACCTGATATGACATTATTTTAAGTATTGCTATAAATAAGGGATTTAGATTTATTCTCTCTAATACACTAGTGTTCCGATTTTTTTCTTTAATATCAAGTATAATGAATTTCTTTCAAACTTTGACTTGTGTAGTTTTTACCAGGGAGGAACTGTACAAAGAACAACTCAGTCTGTTAGTTGCTGTTATGTCTTGGGGCTTCAATTCTAAGGCAAACCTGGTAGGTGCTGGAGATACAGTACTAAGCAGGATGGGGCTAGTTTCTGCTTTCATAGAGCTTATACATCTAGTTGTGACTAAAATAATAAAAAAGTGAAGCTTTGCCGGGCGTTGGTGGCACATGCCTTTAATCCCAGCACTCAGGAGGCAGAAGCAGGCGGATCTCTGTGAGTTTGAGGCCAGCCTGGTCTCTGGAGTGAGTGCCAGGATAGGCTTCAAAGCTACACAGAGAAACCCTGTCTCGAAAAACAAAACAACAACAACAAAAAAGCTTTTATTGGTTATTGTCTCTAACTAAAAATTTTTTTCAGTTACAAAGAGAACAAAAACATACATGGTAAAAAGACAGAAAATGATACTTTACTGTCTTTTTTATCTTTCTCAATAGAAACTTTCTCAATTCAAAACTTTTCAAAATAGAAGTTGGGGGAAAATTTAACAACAAATAATTTTTTTTTTAAAGATTCTCCTTTGTTCTAAAGCCTAGTTGTATAAACTGATTCCATGACACATGACACTGTGGTATGGTTAAGGGGAAGTTTTTTTTTTTTGTTTTTTTTTTTTATTATTATTGTAGATGTGAGAGAGAAAACCACCAGAGGCATCTGGAAGAGTCCAAAGCAAAAGGAGAAAGTAGACTGAGCATGGCCAGTGGAAAAGCAGGAGCAGAGCACAAAGACAGGGACACAGAAGACAGCCAGCAAGACAAAAAGGAGAGAGCACACCTCTCCAATAGCGAGGGCTTTGAAACGTATAGCATGCACTTGGGCTACTAAGGGAGTCTGCCGGCCAAATGGTGCTTTGGAATACCAATAGGCACCACTTCTGCCTGTGATAAGGGAAATGGCTTCTTTTGGTAGTGGTGAACCAGCTTCACAAATCCCTGAGCAGTGCTGGCTTCTATCTGATCACAGAAACCCTCCTACAGTCCAGGACTGCCTTGTGGAGGCTGGGAATTTGGAGTTTCCTTTGGACCTGACACTAATACCCTCTTTGCTTAATTGTGACATTTCCATGATAGCAGCATGACTTCTGGTTCCATTGTTTTTGTATCAGAATCCCCAAGGTAGAAACCAAATCATTACCATATGGATGAAAGCAGTGGTGGATTGTACCATTGCCTTCCACAGAATGTCCTGCTCTAAGTGGACACGATACCAGCAATTGGTAGGAAGTTCTGTTCAATATTCTATAAGTTATATCAGCATATTTTATCTGTGGCTAAGGACATAAAGAGAACCATAAAAATCCAAATATGTGATTTGTTATCCTTCATTCAGCATTTCTTAAGCCACTTTCCAAGTCAAGTGTATACTTAATAACTTAATAATAATCTGCAGTTACTAAACTCAGTGGATTTGCTATCGATATGCTAAAATATACAAAGTAGAGTCTCTTCACTTTACTAGTGGAGAGACGGAATTAATAGCACCTGCAATGTATCCAAACAACGGGATGTAAGAAAAACTTACATTTTCCTAGTACTTTTAGTTCCGATCCTGCCAAATAAAAGTTATCATTATTTACATTTTGTTTTCTTACCATATTCAAGTTGCCAGACACATCTGTGTCTCTGATATGTGGTAAGTCTTCTTGTTCAGAATGGAATATTGGTAGGAGAAAATTCGATGCTTATGTGACTAAGAGGTAAAAGAAACATGAAAGAATGTAATGAGGAAATAAATATGAAACTAAAAGACCTGTTATAACTACTTCCCCAAAACAGAAACACTAGCTAATGGCTGTGAGATATATTCCCCTCCATGCATTGTTTAAAACACTCACTGCATGTCCACCACATGCAAGACATTACCATAGGCACTGATCATAAAAGTATACAACACAGTCTTTATCTGTTAAAAAATTTTTACTAAATCCAAGTATTAATACAGGTGTGAGACCAAAACAAGAACAATATACTTTGTAAGTTAATGGGAGACCAAATCAGGAAAAATATACTTTGCAGGTTTAGAGTTCTGTTTGCAGTTGAGACAGTTAAGAATAAGTTCCTGTTTGTCCTGTGCAGGTTAAAGTTTCTGTTTGTAGTTAAAGAATGAGTTCCTGTTTGTCCTCTGTTAAATCCTTGCAATAGTTAAAGAATAAGTTTCTGTTGATCCTGTGTTAAGTCCTTGCAATAGATAAAGAATAAGTTCCTGTTTGTCCTGCACTAAGTCCTTGCAAGTTAAAATTTCTATTTGTAATTAAGTTCCTGGTTCTTACATGTGCTGTAAACTGTAAAACATGCTTTTCAACCTACACTAAACTGGCCACCCCTTTCATATGATATGTGTGTAATATACATATACATATACATACACACACACACACACACACACACACACACACACACACATACACATACACATACATATACGTCTCCTTACCTTTTCCTGTCCTTTCTTTGTATTTTTCTAACAATGTGTAACAGCCTTCTCTCTTGCCCTAGGAACACCTATCTCTCCTAGGAAAATGACCAAAAGAGGCCTTCAGGGACTGCTCTCTCAAATACCAACAGGGTGAGATACCTGGCTGGCCAATACATCCCCAAATTCAGTTTTCCCTACCCGGACAATTGTGGATTTGATCTTTTCTCCTCAAAATTCTCAGGTTTAACAAAGAGTCCCGCACACATAGTAAAGCCACATGGTAGGTCTGGTGGAAATAGCAATGTGGTCCATAAAACTCATACTCAATTAAATCTGTCATTTAAAACCATTACACGAACCAATTCACCAACTCTCTTTGCTTCCATTTCCTCATCTGTTAGGGCTTGCATGACCATAGGCTCCCATGTGAGAACCTGGGTCCCTAACTGAGTTTGGAAAATCACAGATGCTTCAGGGTAGGAGGCATTACTGGTGGAGGTGAGTCACCGAGGGTGGCCCTTTCAGGGTTCAGCCTCACCCACCTTTGGCTAGAACTCCCTGCTGGCTGATCCACCATGGTGTCAATGAACCACAGCATATGTTCCCAGTTAGGTAAGAGAAAAGGCCTTAATCTGTATACCCTCTAAAACCTCTAAAATAAAATTCTCCTCACTTTATTTCTCTCAGAATTATCATCACAGAGATAAGAAAAGTAACTAGTGTACTATCCATAAAATACTAACTAGGTTTTTTTTTTTTTTTTTTATTAGTTGGCTGAAAGGTTCAGGCTTTGATGCTGATCGGCTCTACCTCTTTAAGAGACAGGCCCTGCCCCCTGACAACAGTCAGGGCATGAGCAAGAAAACACGCTACGTCATCGCCACGTCACCCTGGACATGCGTGGAACCTCAGTGCGCATGTCTTCCCTTTAAAAACTCCAGTTCTCTCTCTGCTTCTTCTCTACTCTCTACTTTCTCTGTTTCTTCTTGGCTCTCTCTCACCTATGCACTCTCTCTGCCTCTATGGCGCCCAGCCATGGCGGTCAGCCATTACCCCTGTTCCTCTTCTCTCTTAGTCTCCATACTCTGCCCGGCCCATATAATAAACTAGTCAATATGTCTCATCTTGCAGCTTTCTCTTTTCCTCTTTTTAAATAAAAGCATAACATTGGTGAATAAGATAAACACACATGAGATAAACATGAGATTGATATAGGACAGGTTATTGGAACAGGTCTTTGGTATAGGTACAGTTTTTTTTGTTGTTGTTTTTTTTTGTTTGTTTTTTGAGACGGGGTTTCTCTGTGTAACAGTCCTAACTGTCCTGGAACTCACTTTGTAGACTAGGATGTCCTTGAATTCACAGAGATCCGAGTGCCTCTGCCTCGAAAGTGCTGGGATTAAAGGTGTGCACCACAACTGCCACCAGGCTCAGTTTTTGAGTGTTTATAGATAATGCTAGGAAAGGAAATGGCTTAGTAAAACTGATTTTTGGGAGAGATAACATCCTTAGAAGCATTCTAGTAACAACCTATAAATCTTGAGCAGTCTGCTTTGCAGGCTAACTTACTCCAGGAGTGAAAGAGGAGATAAGGAAAATGGTCCTTACTTTTTTCATTTTTTTTTATAAGCGCATTTCCACAATGAGCAACAGTCAACCTTCCTAACATCTGTTTTCAACACTGTAAGGCAACCACATAAATTAGCTGGCAGAGGACAGCTTCTCTACCTGAGGTGATTCCAGTGCTTCCTCAACATACAAATTCCCATTCAAGACTCCACCTTTGCGCAGTGGGAGAGCTGCCCCTGTCCCCTGCCTATTGCAACACTGGGGACAGCAGGCCCTGCACCTCCCTTGGGCAGCACAATAGAGCCAACCCCATTAGCAAAGGTGTGGGTGAGGCAGCCCTGAAGTTGTGAGCATGGAAGAGCTGTCTGTATTACTCATCTGTCATGTGGAGACAACAGCTGTATGCTTAAACATATGGAAACTCTAAATCCAGCCATGAAAAATAAAACCCAGATCCTATAAAGGATCTCATCCCTTCTTGAATAAAAAACTTTCTTGTATTCAGCTAGCACTCATTTATATGTTATGTTTTTTTTCCCAAAGCAATAATTGAGATTGTAGTTTTTTATTTCCTAAGCATACTTATGGGATCTAAATCACCATTGAGCTGGGGTGGTTCTGAGTGAATGGTCAGAATCACCTGTGGATAAATGCTCAGCATATTACTGGTTTTTAAAAATGTGATAATGATGAAAGTGAGGAAAATACATCCATGAAGCAAATACTCCAGGAAGCAAAATTCCCTGGCTGGAATCAACAGCTGTATAAAATGGACATGTGCGTGAAGAAACTAAGGTTTTCACATCAACCGCCTGGAAAATATGACCATCTGGGATGCCAAGAACTGTTGAGATGAGAAAAGGTGATACTGCTCCAATCTCATAGGCCTTCTCCTTAACTCAGGCTTCTGTCTGCTTTGAGACTCACTTAAACCAAGTAACCCCACAAACTTCCAAATCAATTGGGAACAAAATCAAAACTATTCATTCACTTAGGAAATAAGATTCTGTGCTGTCTCTCGCCTTGCTTGTGTACTTTAAGAGGATATGAAGGACATAAAGCACCACAAGGGTCACATGTAACATGCTGAGAGGCAAAGACGTGATATGTACTAGTAGGCCAGACACATGGCACCCAGAATCCTATTTAGCCTTCACAATTATCCTATTGTCAAAGTACTATTCAGTCAATACTACAAATAAGAATCTAAGGTAAAAAGTACTAAGTGAGTCACTATGGTTAGTTACCCCACTAAAGACTGATGGCACTTTAATGCCAAATATAATATTTCTGACTCCAGAGTTCATTCTCTTTCCCTACACAAAACGTTTTTCTACAACAAACAAGCAAGCCAAAACCAAACAAACAAACAAACAAACAACTTGTCCTCTGCTGCCAACATCTTGCAGGTCTAAGAGGCGCCAGGGAGTTCCGTACAGCCTGGGCTGCAATGAAACAACCAGTTACCCCAGGACGTGGCAGCATCCCAACCTTCTCAGGTCCCCCAAAGATGGTCAATACCCCCACGTCAGCAGGAAGCAGTCTTGAGAATTCGACGCCCTTATTCCTTATCCTGCCATGTCTAACACCCTACCTTTTTAAATAATAAGCAGAGGTGGGAATGAAAGGTTCAGGCTTTAATGCTGATCGGCTCTACCTCTTTAAGAGACAGACCCTGCCCCCTGACAACAGCACAGGGATGTGCCATGACCACATCACCCACCACACATTTACAGCCTGTGCGAGGACTCTGGGCATGCGTGGAACCTCAGTGTGCATGCGCAGTCTTCCCTTTAAAAGTTCCAATTTCCCTGCTTCGCTCTCTCTCTGCTTCTTCTTCGCTCTCTTTCTCTGCTTCTGCTTTGCTCTCTCTCTCTCTCTGCTTCTGCTTCGCTCTCTGTTTGCTTCTGCTGCTCTTCTCTCTCTCTCTCTATGACCACCGGCCATGGCGGTCAGCCATTACCCCCGTTCCTCTTCTCTCTTAGTCTCCCTACTCTGCTGGGCTTATAATAAACTGGTTCATATGTCTCATCTTGTGCCTGCCTCCTCTTTTTCTTTATATCTAATTTAAACAAAAACATAACAATGGCATTGTTCATCATGCAATGAAGTTTTCCATGAAGACTCCTTATTTTTTGTGAGGAAAAAGTAATATTTTTTCAACTATCACTAGTTTCTTGGGTGAATGGATGACAGCCCTACAACAAGGCAGGTTAGTGAGTAAAAAGCATACAGATTTACATAATATAAATTTTAGGTGATGTTAGAACCTTCAAAAACCAACACCTAAGGAACCAGAGAAACCTGCATATTTTGTTTAGGTTTGATGAAGAGTCAACAGTTGGGGAGAAATATAGTAAGACAAATGTCATAAAATAATATAATAAGCTGGGATCTTAGAAGGACTCCAGATTATTCTTCACATCCTCACAGATATAAGGAACCCTTACCCTCACGCTGTAGGAAGAGGTACTTCTGAAATGAGAGCTCGAGGGAAAGATGAGGAATCCCGTGTGGCCTGCCTTAGGCGAGAGGGTCAGAGGGGCTTTCCCTGTGCCAGCTGTTTTCTGAAAGGCCAGTTGGATGGTAATTCTTGGTTGTCAGTTTGATGTGTTAGACCCCCGGAAAACTCAAGTACCCGGGGTCCCAGGCCACGTTCTCGGTCACCCCAATCACCAGGTGGATTCGAGAGCTTGCTGCAAACT